AGGTCAGTCATCATGGTCCACGTTGCGATGGAGCCCTTCCTAGCAAGGGCTGTGATGCAGTGTTGGTGTGCACCGTTGCCCTGGGGGCGGCAGTGGCTGGTGTGGCCCTCTCTTCCTCCTGTTGCTGTGGCTGGGTGCCTAAGGAGGTGGAAAACCTTAAATGAATGCTGCATTAACAACAGGGAGCTTTTCAAGTAATGAGAGTCTTCCACTACTAAAGCATTTTGCCTGAGGCTGGAAGCTGGGGTCTTGTACAAGTGTGGGACCCTGCTCAGTCTTAAATCACAGACTTCCTTGATGGAGACCCACAAAGCACTAGGGGTCAGATGCCCTAACTTTGCCTGGCAGGAAGTACAATTGGATTTCAGTAGTTCAAAAACCCCGGGGGTGAGTGCGATGTTTATCCTCCTTGTTCTAAATGATAGGATAATTTAAGTGTAAGGCCCTGCAAGTGGTGCTAGCAAATGCAAGGAAATCCTTGCATCAAAAATACAGGGTTGGACATGGCATGGTAGGCTAGTGACTTAAGTCCTTGCCTTGCAAGCACCAGGATCCCTTTTGAGCACAAATTCAAGTCCCGGCTGCTCCACTTGCCATCCAGCTCCCTGCTTGTGGCCTGGGAAAACAGTAGAGGATGGTCTAAAGAATTGGGACCCTGCGGCTACATGGGAGGCCCTGAAGAAGCTGCTGGCTCCTGGTTTCGGTTCAGCTCAGCTCTGGCCGTTGCGATCACGTGGGGAGTAAATCAATGGATGGAAGATCTTCCTCTCTGTCTCTCCTGCTCTCTGTACATCTGCCTTTCCAATAAAAAAAATAATAATAAATCCTTTTTAAAAATCAAGGGTTGTCAGAGGAGAGCTGCGCTCCTGAAGGCTGCCTGCCAGCAGACCCAACTGAGCTCCCGCGAGCCTCCCCTCCCCTCCCCTCTCCTGGGTTTTGTGTCTCTTTATGAAGCAGGTGGGAGCTCTGAATTCATTCCACAGAAGGGGATGGAAATACTCTGGGCTCCTAGAGTTAGAAGAAACCTGGAGGCTAGCAGCTCCCCCCCCCCCCACACACACACACACTAGTCCTTTCCCTTTAGTATTCAGAGAAGTGGGGATATAAAGCAGATGTTTTTGGTGTCTGGTGTAAATTTGCAAAAGAGATGTGTGTGGGTTTCTCCTCCTCTTCCTTTTTCTTCCAGGTTCGCCTTTATTATCACGACTATTCAGTCCACTGTATTTTACGTGGAAGAAAGTCATATGCTTGGGGTTTTTTCTTTTTTTTAGATGCATTTATTTTTATTGGAAAGGCAGATATACAGAGAGGAGACACAAAGATTTTTTGTCCGCTGGTTCACTCCCCAAGGGGCCGCAACAGCTGGAGCTGAGCCAGGATCTAGGGACCTTCTCTGTGTCTCCCACATGGGTGCAGGGTCCCGAGGCTTTGTGCAGTCCTCGACTGCTTTCCCAGGCCACAGTCAGGGAGCTGGATGGGAAGTGGGGCAGCCAGGACATGAACGGGCGCCCAGATGGAATCCTGGTATATGCAAGGCAAGGATTTAGCCAGCAGGCTGTTGTGCCAGGCCCAGAAAGCCATGTCTGTATACCTGAAAATGAATGATGCCTGCCTTCCACCGCGTTTGCACCAAATTTTCACAAGTGCCCAGCTTCACACAGAATTCATATGTAAATAGATATGCATTACAGCAGCCTTTTCTGCTGTGATTACTTATGTAAATTACACATCTCCAGGCTAGGCGGTAGGAAGAGCGGCAAGCAGGCAGGCAGACTTTACAAACTCAGAGCCGCAGTAGGGAGAGTGTTCTGGGGGAGCCAGTGGTCCCATTCTCGCTGCTCTCCCAGGGAGTCACCTTGAGCACTTGGGGTTTGCAGCATCACTCAGACCGGACCTTTGATCTCACACTGCGGTCTTTCCCAAGACCCCAAGCGAAACTCCTGTAGGCCCCAGAGCCAGCTGCGCTGGGTCAATACAGATAGGGAACAGGAAGAGACCCAGCATGCTGGCTTCACACGTCGTAAACCACACAAAGCCCCCTCTTTACTCTCCTGCCTCTCTAAACGCCTGTGCGAGGAGGTGGGGGGGGAGGGCATGAATTGGGATTTTCTTTATTCTTAAATACACAGAACACACAATTACACTAAACCCCTTTAGCATCACAGTCCATTTGGCCCAACATCTACTTTTCTAGAAACAGACCCATCCAGGCCTGGAGCTTGCACAGGGGTTGGGGGCTGTCCTCACACTGTAGGCACAGGTGCACCAGACCTTGAGGCCACCTAGCATGGCCTCGCTCAGCCCCACTGCTGTGGCATGAACTGGGGAAGGGCAGTTTAAACCCGATGTGCCATTTTACACACATTTTTCTCTTGTGTGTTCAGGGAGGTGCCTGTAGCTGCCTGCAGGCAGAAGAGAAGAGAAATAGGAGGGGAGGGGATGATGAGGAGCTTTGGAGCCTGGTTACAGCACAACAGGAAGGGGCGATTTCTCTGGCAGTTGTTTCAGAAACAGGATGATTTTGTTGAGGAAGAAGGGGGCCACTTCACCGAATCCAAACCTGGCAATGGTTATTTTAGGCCAGGTTCTCCAAGATCCAACTTAGGGAAATTTCTTTTTGCACTTCATTCATTAGAGTCCTAAATCACTATCCTCAGGGCCAACCAACAAGTTCCCAGGAGATGGGGGTGGGGGAAGAGGCAAGTCAGCCCCAAGAGTTAAAAACCCTGTTGGAGTGTGCGTGGGCAGGTGCGCAGGCAGCCAAGACCTCTCTCTACAGAGGAGAGGCGAAGCATCCTTACTCTCCTTCTTTGAAGGGCTTCCTGCCAGAACAGGTGAATCTTGGGTCTCCTTTATAAACTTCATTCCTAGTGGGGACAGAGAGGGGAACAGGAGGTCCTCCTAGAACATCAAAGGCAGTGGGGGGGGGGAAGGGGCGCCGGGAGAACCTATGCAGCCCCTGCATTCAGATTCCTAGTCCCTCCCAACACCGAGGCCTCACTGTCCGCTTGTGAACAAGAGGTTCACTCTCTTTGCACCTGTGCTCTGGAGAGGGGATGAGGACAAACTTCCTTCTAGAGAAGGTTAAGGAAGGGCATTTGAGAGAGCTTAAAGCACTCAGTAGGTGTCCAAGACCGGGAGTGCCCCTCTCCTCCTTACAGGCAAGACTGCATCTTTTTCAAGGCAAGACAAATTCATGTACATGTTGCAATTTCTGTTTTCTAGTTACTGGCTTCTGCCAAGTTGCTGGCCTCTTAGCCTTCCAGCCAGGACAGTGCATGTCAGAATTACCCTGTGTTATGGTGAAAAAAAGATACATAGTTAAATCACTGTCATCAATGCTCCTGTCTGTGAAGAAAAAAAAAAATCTCTTTGAAGATAATCAGGCAGCCATTATATGTCTTTAAAAGAAAAAAAAATTAAGAAAAAGGCGGGGTTGGGAGGGAGCAGCAGGATGCAAGGCCCACTGATTTTCAAGTTTACTTGGCACTGATTTTCCCTTGGGTCCCTGCCCTTCCCACAGCCCCCTTCCCATCTAAAAGTCACCTGTCTACTCCCTGCAATGCCTAAGGCTCCCTCAGTCTCCAACCTGGATAACTGGTTCTAATGGCGCTATTGACAAAACTGGTCGTTGGTGGTTGCTTGACTTCCTCACCTGCCTGCTGTTGATTCTTTGGGATTAAAAAAAAAAAAGAAAAGAAAAAAGAAAAGCCCCTTGGAAGTGCTTTTACTGTAAATATTTGAAGAGCGTGTTAGGGCAGTGTGAACTCTGTATTCTCACTCCACCACTGCGCCGGGATTCTGCCTTCTGAAGCTCCAAGGATGCTGCTGTAGCAAAACTGCTGACCCAGGGCTCAGTGGCCGGGGTCCTAGATGGCTACTGACTCTGGGCTGCTTTCCCAGGCCCGAGATGGGCGGCCTAGTGTCCTGCTTGCCCGTGGGCATTCCTTAGCAGAGAGGATGGCCCTGGACCACTCGTCCAAACCAGGGTGGGACGAGGCCACATTGGGGTCCCGGCAAGATTCAGGAAGCCAAACTCAGGTTCACGCACACATTTATGCTCACCCGCCCACAGGTGAAATAAACGGGACCTCCCAGAGCAGATAAGGTTCGACCTGTAGAGGGTTGGCGTTTGGGATAAACCGCCCCGGACACGCTCCGGGGACCCAGGGAGAGCTTGAAGAAACTGGAAACGTTCCCTGTGTGCTTCGGTCACTTACAGCGGCCAGATCTGGGCACGACATTGTCACCGAGGAACATGGAACCATTAGGACATCTTAAGAGCAAACGAGATGGCGCAATGAAGGCCCAAGGGACACGCAAGCCCAGAGCGCAATCAGGTGCCTCGGCTGCGGCTCCCGTGGAGTGAGTGTTCACGGAGACCCAGGATTGCCGGCGCCCGCTGTCTCCGCTCAGCACGCGCGGAGGGCGCAGGATATCTATCCTCTGTTGAGCCGCCGAGCGGGTTCAGGATACCGCCGATCCACAGCGGATCCACACCCTAGGCTGTTTAGGACCTCGCGGCGGAGAGGCGGGGCGTTAGGCGGCCAGGACGGTGACAGGTGCGCCCCTCGGCCAATGGCGGGACCGACGCCCCTCCCCAAGCACCCGCAGTGCGCGCCAATCGGAGACCGTGTTGAGCTTCAAGTGCGCGGAGGGGCCGCGGGTCTCCACCACCGCGCCAGCGGCCTCGGCGCGATTGCCTGCGGCTGGAACGCTGAACGCTGGCCTCAGCTGCCCGGACGAGCCAAAGCGCTCGCGAGGGCGTTCGTGCCAGCGAGGGCGAGCGTGTGTGAGCTCGGCCCGGGGCGGGGCCGCACTGAAGAGGCGCGGACCATGGTCACCCTCGGCTGAGTTCCCGGCGGCGACTTTGATTATTGGCAAATAATCACTAACAATACCCAGCCCGCAGGCTTGCCACCGCCACGCAGACTCCGCGAGCCGGCACACGGCCGCGTCACCCACCACCGGGGCCCTGATCTCCAGCCCCAAACGAGCCGATGGAAAAATCCAAAAATTTCCGCATCGACGCCCTGCTGGCGGTGGACCCCCCGCGAGCCACCTCCGCGCAGAACTCGCCGCTGGCCTTGGTCACGTCCCTCGCGGCTGCAGCATCTGGCCCCGGCGGTGGAGGAGGCAGCGGTGGCGGCGGGGCAAGCAGCGGAGCGAGTGGCAGCTGTAGCCCCGCGTCCTCGGAGCCGCCCGCGGCTCCAGCCGACCGTCTGCGCTCTGAGAGCCCTTCACCGCCGCGCCTGTTAGCTGCGCACTGCGCTCTGCTACCCAAGCCCGGCTTCTTGGGCGCGAGCGGAGGCAGCGGTGGTGGCGCGGGCGGCGGACCCGGGGGCCCCCACCACCACTCGCACCCCAGCGCAGCAGCGGCCGCCGCCGCAGCAGCCGCAGCCGCAGCGGCGGGGAGCCTGGCTCTGGGGCTACACCCGGGGGGCGCACAGGGTGGCGCGGGCCTCCCGGCGCAAGCAGCACTGTATGGCCATCCGGTTTACGGCTACTCGGCGGCGGCGGCGGCAGCCGCGCTGGCCGGCCAGCACCCGGCGCTGTCCTACTCGTATCCACAGGTGCAGGGCGCGCACCCTGCGCACCCCGCCGATCCCATTAAACTGGGCGCCGGTACCTTCCAGCTAGACCAGTGGCTGCGCGCGTCCACCGCTGGCATGATCCTACCCAAGATGCCCGACTTTAATTGTGAGTACGCGCGTACCCTGGGGCCCGTTGTGTGTGTAGAGGCGTGCGGGAAGTGTGGAGGCTTGGCAAGTGGGTTCTCCCGCGCGTCGCCCTTCCACCAGGCGCCTCCTTCCCCGCTGCGTGCTCTGCTCCGAGAGCGCTGCTGAAGCGCCGCGAAGCCGCCTCGGCTTTGCCGCAGGCTTGTGAGACCTAGCGCGGGCTCCGCGGGCTGAGAGCGGCAGAGAATTAGTAAAATGGCCTCGCGCAGGCCTTGCCTTCTCTTCCTCTCTTAACGGGAAAGGGCAGCTGGAGGTGTGAGACTCTAATCTAATGATTAACTTGCGCGCTGGAGGAGGAAGTGGAGAGAAAAGGCGAGTAGGAAGATCGCCCTGAATCTGGCAGGTTTGGGAACGGTGGAGATGGGGGAGGTCAGCGGAATCCAGGGGTTTACCCATCAGAAAAAGTGCCTTGGCTGGGGTCTCCTGTCATGGGCTCCCTCTCTGGACAGAGAGAAGGAGAGGAGAACCTGGAGCAGCGAACAAGCAAGGGTCTTCCAGAGCTGAGGGCTGCAAAGCCAGGCCCCAGACAGGCCCCTGGTCCTTGCTGGGAGCACTGCTTTCCTTTGGAGATTGCAGGGTGCGAGGTGCAGGGAACCCAGGGCTGAAGGCCAGTAGGAGCAGTAGGTGCCTTCTCCGGAACTCAGGATGCCCTGTACTGTATCATATCCAACGTCAAAGCAGCGGGGAAGGAGACCAAGCCACCTCCAGCACAGGCGCCTGGGAGGGCTCGGCTTTCCCAGGTCCAGGCGAAGTAGAGGCAGCTGGGTGCAACAGCTCCGCAGCTCCTGGGGTCTTCAGCTCTCCCACCACGCCCAACCGAGTCAGCTACCTCCTCCTGAGTCCCCCTGGAGCAGAAGAGGTAGACGGCTTTCTGCTTTCAGCCGCCCAACACCCAAACAAAGAGACCCCATTGTTTCCGTCTGAGTGGGTTTGTTTAGACTGGGGAGATGCAAGCACTGGAGGGAACCCGCAAAAAAGAAAACAGAAATAAACACTTGCCAGAATTCAAGATTCCTCTGCTTGAAGCCACGCTGGTGACTAAACAGAGAAGAGCTAGCACCCCAGGGGGCTGGTGAAGTGGCAAGGGAGTGCGAAAAACACAGCAGGGGCCCTGTTAGCTCCCAGCCACCCCCAGGCTTTCCCGAGTTGGGCTCTTTAGAAGACCCTACGGGCCAGCCCTCTCTCCTGTTGAACGCTTAACTCCTACTGATTCCCCTCTCACTTTGGGGGAGGGCACAGCTTTGGACATTTTCTGAGTCTGTTGAGCCCTTTGGCCAAAACCAGGTGCCCAGCCCAGCCAACCCCAACTGCTTCCGATGGGAAGCCGCCCAGCCAACTGCACGGCGACCAGCATTTCCCAGCGCCTGGGGACCCTCTGTGGCCCTGAGGCCTCCTAGCACGCTGGGTTCCCTGACTTCCCCCAGTGCTTTCCAATCCCTTCCCAAGCACCCCAGTGCTGCTCTAAGCTCAAGGACGAACGGAAAGTCGATTGCAGGGGGAGCCGTGTGCCCGCACCCGTCTTCTGATTCCTAATTGGATTTCAGAGGAGGCTGAATTTTTAGCCAAATCAGAATGTGAGCCATCGCAGAGGGCTCACGGTGCAGAGTGCAGGTTCAGTGTGGACTGCATTCTGAGACACTGCCTGGAAAGTCGTTGGGTCCCCTGTCCTCGGTCATCTTCGCTGCCTGTTGTATGCTATTTCCCAAATGGTCCCTTCCAAGCCAGTATTTTAATTAAAGTTCTAATGTATTGTCAAGTTGGGAATTCGGACCTTGTTTAACTAAAGCAGGGGGCGTGGGCCTTCCTATAAAGCAAATTGCCCGTCCCAGGGGAGCCTGAGCCCATCCCAGGGCCCCAGGGCTAGCCTCATTTCTTTTCTTCACTTTTTTTTCTCCCTTTTATTGTCTAACACTTGTCAGACTCCTGGGAAATCAAGGGAAGTCGCATTTTGAGGTCATAAAATTCTCTGTGATGTAACCGTGCTAAATTATGTAAATAAAGCTGGGCTGGCCTCCTTGAACACACAGAAAGCCAGATCCGCCCACTGCTGGCCTTTAATTTGGGTAAAGAGAATTGTTCTGAAAAGGTTTCCATACACCCCCACACTGTCTCTCCCCCCCCCCCCCCCCCCCCCGCGCTCTGCCCTCCAGGCACCCCAGGAGGGGCTCCTTCAGAAAACATTTTCCAATTAGGAGGGGTCCCAAATGAAAGCCTGTTTAGGATCCGGATTTGGTCTCTCTACTCCATTTTCCCCTCCCTACTTCCTTCTCTCCAGCCTTGAAAGCGGGTAGATTTGGTGTCCTGGTCTGCTCTGGCTCCTCACTTAGGGGAAGGGTGCACAGGCCCTGCCCCAGGCAGAACTATTAGGTCCTCTTGGACCAAACTGCCTGCCGTGTGGGAGGACCAGAGGGGTGGCTCAGCCGCAAAGGGGTGGGCGAGGGCAGAGGACCCGACCTCACGCTGTCTGGCATCCCCAGCCCAGGCACAGTCGAACCTCCTGGGGAAATGCCGCCGGCCGCGGACCGCCTTCACCAGTCAGCAGCTGCTGGAGCTGGAGCACCAGTTCAAGCTCAACAAGTACCTGTCGCGGCCCAAGCGCTTCGAAGTGGCCACCTCACTCATGCTCACCGAGACCCAGGTGGGCAGCCTCCTGCCAGCATCCAGCCATCCTGATCAGTCGGGCCACACTCTCCACCCTCGGACAGTTTGGTGCCCCTAGGGGATCAAGATAACTCTGATTCACCCAGAAGCCTGATTCTGTAGTTCCAACATTTCTGAGTTTAACGAACCCGTGCCCCCTTATGAAAAAGCGAGTCTCTGGGCCACATTTGAGAAAGTTTGTTCGAAAACAGAAATGCGGGAACACCCTGAGGTGTACGGAGGTCCCCACCTGCTATGGCCCTTACGCCTTTACTCCAGGAGACTGAGGGGTGGGCAGGGAAGTCCCTTGCCCCCTGCCCCGGGGGAACTGGAAAGCCGAGTTTCCCAAGGAGCCCCCTGCCCAGCTGTAAGGCTGCTGATGGGCTGATGGAGGGGGTGGGAAGGAAGCCACGACGCCCCACACTGCGAGCACCCCCTTAAGCCTCTGCAGTTCCTTCTCTGGCTACCCGGCCAGGGGGCGGCTCGCTCACGCCCGCTTGTGCCCGCAGGTCAAGATTTGGTTCCAGAACCGGCGGATGAAGTGGAAACGCAGCAAAAAAGCCAAAGAGCAGGCGGCGCAGGAGGCGGAGAAGCAGAAGGGCGGCATGGCGGGTAAAGGCGGCGGCGGTGCCGAGGAGAAGGCGGAGGAGGAGACGCTGGGGCCACCCGCGTCCGGGGACAAGGGCAGCGGACGCCGGCTGCGAGACTTAAGGGACAGTGACCCCGAGGAGGAGGACGACGACGAGGAGGATGAGGACCGTTTCCCCTACAGCAACGGCGCCGGCGCCCACGTCGCCTCCTCCGACTGCTCCTCCGAGGATGACTCGCCGCCTCCGCGGTCCGGCGCGCCCGGCCACCAGCCCCCTGCCCAGTAGGAGCCCCTGCGCCCCGGCGGGCAGGGGCGCGCACCGCTCCGCCCTAGCCAGGGGCCGCGCCAGGCCTCCATCCCGCGTCCAGCGTCCCGCACTGGCGGGCGAGACTTTCCCCCAGGCCACCTCACCGCGGCCAAGGCTGGAGGGCCGGAGCGCTTGGCCCACAGTGCCAAGCTTCAGCCCCTGTCCTTTCACATTGAATTGTGCTTAAGTTTCCAGGGGAAGGGCCCTCCCTCCAGGGGAAGCTTCCCGGCGGCCTAGGGGTCCGGGAGCCCACAGTGTTAGAAAAAAAAAAAAAAAGACCTCCGAAACTTGAACCCTTCTCTGTTGAGGTTTTGAGGAAAAGGGTTGATGCTTCTATGTGTTCCAGGGGGAAAACTTGGGAGCGTTCAAACCGCTGGAAATCTCACAGCTGTACTATCTTTATTTTTGTATATTGTATTTATATATATGAGGATATATATAAAGAAATGTCTACTTATGCATGCTAAATTATTATTTAGCTTCACCCATCGCCCAGGATGGAAGGTAAAATAAATTGGTTTTTTACTGGACAACAGTACAGGTCTTTTGCGGCGGGGGAGGGGAGGGCGCGGGTTGGGGAACTGGGGTTCCGGAAAGTGGATTTTTGCTACTTGGTTGTCAAAACGGATGGGGAGGCTGGCCTCTCCTCCCCTCAATAGAGAGGGTGAACGTCAGGGCCTGCGGTGGACCCTGACCGAGGCGGCCGACCGCAGGTGTAAAATATTGAGACCAAGTCGCATCTGGCGTCTGGTTCACACCTGGAGTGGACATCGGCGGCCTCTGCTTCATTTATTCTTTCATTGCGGGAGGGTCTGCTAGCCTCGCCAGCGAGCTCCAAAAAAGGGAAACACATTAGGTAAAGGTTTCAGAAAATCAACTCCAAGGACCCGATTCCAGTAGCTTCTGGGTGCGGGTGACCCAGGGCCCCACTCAACACTTCCCAGAATGTGTTGAACTTCTCTTTGTCCTGACCCCCGTCCCTCGCGGCTTCTGCCGACCAGGAGCGGTCCTCTTGGATCTCTGTGAACGTCCGCCAGGACAGCAGTGGCCGGCAGGGACTCTCCTTGCCAGACAGGCTGCACGGCTCTGGGTTAATAAACCTCTGCAGTGTGCGCCATCAATCACCAGGCTGGCCAGGGCCCTCCTGCCATGTGCAGCACACATGCGGGGCGCCACGCGCAGCCGGCCGGCCTCGGTGCCCTCACTCCTGGGGACACCTCCCACCTGCCGCGCACCCCCATTTCCGATTCTGCGACTTCCTCCGCGCGCGCCTGGAGAAGCTGGGTGTCAGGATTCTCCCTGCTCTCTCTCACTCTCTGTCTCCTCCCCCGACCCCCCTGCCCCCTCGGGCTTCCTTCCCTCCGCGTTACTTTCTCACGGGGGCCCGGGCGCGGGCCGCGCAGCCCCCTCCTGCTGCCGCCCCCTCCCCCTTTCTGCCTGCTGATGAATGAGTTCAGGAGGGCCTGGCGTTTCATTTGGGTGATTACCGCCGGGCGAGCGCGGCCCCTCCTCCGCCTAGGGCCTCGGTGAGATTAATATCCTCTCTGGCAGCTCATTATCACCCCGGGCTCCTTCCATAAAATCCAACCTCTACCAGGGCCAGGGCCGAGGCTGCTAGAGGCACAGGCAGAAGCCGCTGAGCACCGGGTGTGTGCGGTCCTTGGCTGCCTGGAATCCAAAGACACTTTTGGGAGAACCGGGATGGGGTTTGCCGGTGATGGTGGTGGAGAAAGGAGAGGGAGAAGACTCGTGCGTGACAGACTGGGAAAACCAGAAGGGAGGGGAAGAGAGAGAGAGAGAGAGAGAGAGAGAGAGAGAGAGAGAGAGAGAGAGAGAGAGAAAGAAAGAGAGAGAGACTCTGCAATCCGTATAGATCTCCGTTTAATTTGTAACACCTGGGCGATGTTCAGCCTGAAGCAATCCTGCCAGAGCCGACTCCACATCTGGGGGTGGTTTCATCCCTCAGTGCCCCCACCCACAAAGTCCTTGGAACTGGGTACTCCAGCGGGCTGGAGTAGGAGTGGGGTGCCCTACCCGCGCCCAGGGGACAGGTGCAGATGATCCTTCAGAGGACATAAATATTTGTCTCTTCCCAGGCCTGGGATCTGCTCGGGGACTCAGACTTGGGAAGTCTGGACCTGCCACAGCCCTAGCGTCTCCAGCCAGCTGCTTAATCGCAGTGGAATTTATCTCACTAATAAATTTAATGATCAATTCGTTCTTGTCACTAGAGCTCTTCCCCAAATCAATTATAGCAAATTTAAATATAATCACTGGCTCATCCTCACCCACTCCGGGCATGGCGAACAATTCATTCCACTTAATGAATGGTTGCTGGGGCCCACTCGGCAGCCTTGCTGGGTGCCCCGCATCTCAGGGTGCCTGTGCTGAGGGTCACCAGGTGGGAGCTGGCTTTGACCTCCTGCATCCGAATCTCAGGGTGACCCCAGCATGGGAGAGGAACCAGAGCCAGCCAAGTCTCAGAGCTTCAAGGGAATTCAAGGCATGGTGTCTGTCCTAGGCTTCTCCCTGGGGAAACCATTGCTGGGTTTGCTTTCTCAACAAAGCTATTCGTTTCAGAGGCTAGTGGAGTTCTCCGCCTAAGCGGGAGCCAGACCACACAGCTGCAAACCAGGGCCTGGATTCCAATGAGGGAGGGAAGAAAGGACTGCCAAACCTGAGCAGGTGCCTGGGCACCTGGGGTCAGTCTCTCTCCTACATTCTGAAGAAAGCAGCTCTCTACACAGTGCACCGGTGTGTGAGTAAAGCCCAACTGTCAGGCACCCTTCTGTAACAGCCCTGGGTCACTTTCCCAGTCATTCCTGGATCTCTGGCGGTGAGCTGGGAGGGGCAGCAAGACACCTGCTAAATCTAGAGTCAGGGAGTGCAGAGACTAGAAAGGGGTCTTTTCCTCAGTAACTAAATCTCCTGTCATCCAGTACCCAGGTGGCAATCAGATCCAAAAGACAAACTTGGAAGACATTCTATGATACAGAAGTGCTGGCACCAAAACCAAAAAACAACGGAGACACACCTCACACTGAACAGTTGTGATGCCACAAGACACAGGAGCCATTTCCCAAAGGAAGAAAAGATTTGCAAACCATATACTGCTAATGATCTAACATCCAGACCATAGAAAGAACTCCCACAACTCAATAACAACAGTAAAACCCAGACAATCCAATGTTTCAATGAGCCAAGATGTTTTAAAATAGACATTGCATTAAATGAAGCAACGGCCCACAAGCGTACCACCAGGAAAATTCACATCGGAACCACAGGAAATCGCTGCATACAGCTGAGGGTGGCTGGTATAAAATAAAGGACACGCACATAAAGCACAGGTTTTGGTTAGGATGTAGAGAAACGTCAGCCCTCTTGCACTGTTGGCAAGAATGTAACATGGTGTGACCATTATGGAAAACAATAGGGAAGGCTCTTCAAAAAATTAAAATTACAGATGACCCAGCAATCCTGGGCAATGTGGTTCAATGTTGAAGATGCCATGCCAAGCAGAACAAGTCACTCGAAAAGAAAAGAAAAAAAGAAAAAGATCCACTAAGGCAGGTGGAGCTGAGAAAGCCTCTAAGAGCTGCACCTTGACATCCCATCTGGAAGTGCTGGTTCCAACCCTGGCTACATCCCTTCCCAGCCAACTCCTTGCTAAAATGCTGGGAGGCAGTAGACGCTGGTTCTAGTGCTTGGGCCCCTGGCCACACCACACACTCTGGGAGGCCAGGGTGGAGTTGCTGGCTCTGGGCCCAGCCCAGGTATTGGGGCCATTTGGGGAGTGAATCAGCAGGTGGATCTCTTTCCCTCTGTGCCATCCCCTCCCCATCACGCTACCTTTAAAATACATTTTTTAAAGATGATACGCACTGCAGGATCCCACCTAGACGAGCTATCCTTTTAGATAAGAAGCACGTTCAGAAACAGAAAGCAGAACCGTGTTTGCTGGGGACTGGGAGGATCAGAGGTTTGCTTGGGGACCATGAACAAGCTTTCCAGCGGTGCGCGTGCATTAATATTAGTGGTCACCAAAAATGCATAGGATGGTGCTGAGGTTTTCCTCCCTGTCTCCTTCCTCTCCTCTCATCCTCCCGCCCTCGTGCCTGCCTGCCTTCCCCTCCGTTTGGTTCTATAAAGGCGGGGCTTGCTACAGCCCTGGGAGGTAGCCTCCCCCCCCACCAGGCTCTCCCGGTGGGCTCCGAGCCCACGGTGGCCCGATCCAGCGCTGCCAGCAGCCATTGGATCCACGTGGGCCCGCGTTCCAGCTCGGTCCCGGTTTCGGTTCCGGTCCGCTGAGCATCTCCCAGGTTGCGCCCCTTCCGCGCCCCCAGTCCCGCAGAAGAGGAAGGCAGTGCTTCGCTCCCGACCCGGGCCAAGGAACTGGCCAGGGCGGAGAATGACCCCTGGACGCATTCGGGGGTGGGGAGGGCTTCGGGCTGAGGACCACCAGGGCCTGCTGCTGGGCGCTGCGGGGCAGGGCAGGGCGTGGGCGATGCGGCTTGCTACCCGCAGGACCCGGGCACTCCCTTCAACCCCCGTTTCAAAGTCCTACGGTGTATTGTGTCTCCCTCAATAAAACTAATCCCTTCGGAGGTGTGACCTCCCCCAAGAATGCCGCAGTGTTCCACACTACAAGGGCAAATATGTTTTTCAGATTTGGTTTTTATGGTCGGATTAAAGTTTATTTTCCATAATAGGGCACCTAATAAAACTCATAAAGCCGGGCCGGCCCTCCAGCTGGTGGCCTCGTTTAACACTTTCACTTCGTAAATCACTTCGCGAAGTGCCAGGTGTGCGCGCCCTGGGCGTCGGCGGGCCAGCGCCGCACTCTCGGGGCCCCGGGGTAGGAGGTCTCAGGGCCGCCCTCTCCCGAGCTGAGGCCTCCGCCGCGTGGGGCCCCACGCACCCCCGCGCTCCCCGCCAGCCACAGGCTCCTCCACAGCACGAGCGAAGGGGACCCTGCAAGA